AACAGAGAGATCTGTCCAATTCTTTATCCGGCTCGAGCACGGAGCTGAGCCCTCTGCGTGGCCACGAGCCCCCGCGCCCCCAGTGCCGCCGAGGGCAGCTCACGGGAGGGGACGGGGCAGCTCCGCTTCCCGCGGCCGTGCTGCAGCCCCAGCTCCACGTCCTCCAGTCACCAGCCCTGCAACTGTTGTCATTTATTGCACTGCTTTCACCTTCCTGTGGAAGCCGCATGATGCCATTAAGGCAGAGGGAAGACCGAGCTCTCAGATGGTCTCATCCTTCGCGGCGCTGCCCTCTAAGCACAGGGGAGAGCTGCTGGTGCCCCCCCACCCATCGCCAGAGGGACCTTGGGACCGTCTCTACCTCCCCATTTTCATTCCTTTACAAGAGGAACATTTTTCACAGTGAGAACACATGGCCAGTGGAACGCTCTCCCCAGGGAAGTGGTGGATTCCCCATCATTGGACATGTTTAGCATTCAGCTGGACAGGGTGCTGGGCTGTCTTGTCTACGCCGTGCTTCTGCCAAGAAGGTCGGACCAGGTGGTCCTTGAGGTCTCTTCCGACCTGGGAGCCCATGACTGGATCTGATGAGCACCCTCCCGCAGACCCCGGGCTGCCGCGGGACCCGCAGTGGGGAGACATCACCTCAGGGTGATGGGGACTGAGTGCCAAAGCGAGAGGGGCACCGTGGCGCGAGCACAGACCCTGGCTCGGTGCTGTGCCGACGGCCAGCGCGGCATCCTGCTCACACCGACACCACGCTCCCGTCCCCGCTCAGCCCTGTCCGCCCCACGTCCTTCCTCACGGCACAGCGGTTCCTCTTCCTCCCGCCCCCCGACCTCGCAGCCCGCCCCAGTCTGAGGGCGAAGGCAAATACCAGTCCCAGTGCTGGGACTGGCCATGCCACGGGGGTGCTCCCTCCTTCCCACTGACTCACTCAGGCTCCGTTCCAGGCAGGACGGCACGGGCTCCGGCAGGAACTGGCCCCCGTGCCACTGCCTCTCCCGGGAAAGCCGCGCGGATAAGGGGACAATGGGGAGCATCATTTTCCCTCCGCCCCACCCCGACATTACCTTGGAGATATAGGTCAGCTGCAGAGATCCGACGGCACCCGCACCGATGGCCAGGTTCTGCAAAACGCGTAATGACCAATGGGAGTTAAGTGACAGGGAGAAGGCAGAAGAGGCCGGTCGGGCTGCCGCTTGGTGTCAGCGGGGTCAGGCAGCAAACCCAACAGCCGCGCTGCCGGCCTCGGCCGCTTCCCTCCTCTGTGCACCCGGGTCACCTCGCACGCGGCCGGGACCGGCCACGCTGTGCTGCACGCGAGCGCTGTGCCCTCCTCCGTCCCCTCCGCGCTGCCTGTCCCGCTCACCGCCCCGAGCAGCGGCGCCGCAGGTGCCAGACGGGCTCCGAGAGACGGAGCCGGTGCGAACACTTCCCCTTCCCCTTCCAACACGGCGGTGCACAACCCGCAGCGAGATGCTCTCCAGGAAGGCAGGTGCCTCCGCAGCCCACCAGCAGTGCTCAGGCGCCGCGGGGTTTCCAGCAGGGTCTTCCTAGAGCTCAGATTTGGCTTTTGCTCTTTCGAGCTGGACCACAAGCGTGGGGGGCCGCTCCCGGAGACAGCGGGTGCGACATGCAGGGACTCCATCTCCCCCAGCCAGCCGGCTCCTGCTCCCAGTGCTTTTGCTGCACGACACTACTTCTGAGAGGACAAGTATTTCTAGGATAACCTCTCCTCTTTCCTGTTATCCCTGTCCCTACACTAAGACACAAGGGAGAAGTAACACCTCACGATGGCACAGCGTTTCTGTAGGCTCCTCCGGGGTACCAGTGGCTCCCGGTGGCTCTCTGCTGGGGCAGTCCTGGAAACCACCGCAGTTGCGGGGGTTGGCACCCAGCCACGGCAGACCCCAAAAAACAACCAACGCGGCAGACAGAGTCCTCCTTCGGGGACCCGGAGGAGACGCCTCCACCAGGGCAGCCCCGCGGGGAGCCCAAGACGCAGCTAAAGACTCATTAACAACTTCCGCGGCCGTGCCAGCGCGGAGCCCGGAGCAGCGCGGGAGCCTACCTGCGGGTTGTCCATGTACCAGAGGAGGCAGTTGGCCTGCGTGTCCAGGATGAAGTACCTCCGCAGAAACTTGCCGCAGGTCTCATTTTCTTCGATGTCCAGGAACCCGCAGATACGGTTCTGTCGATCCAAGTACGGCATGCCGGGCTCCTTCTCGCATCACCCTGCAGAGGAGGGATGGGCAGGGAGAGGTGGGTGCTCTGCTCCCGCAGCCCCAGGAAGCCAACCGCTCCGGCACCGACGGCCA